TCCTCAGCGCTGAATTGAACGCTTTGGTCCTGTGCCGTGGCCACCCCGGTCACCCGATCTAACTCCAATAGACTTTCACCTCTGGAGTCACTTGAAGTCATTGGTTTACAATACTCCAATTGCTACGGTGGAAGAATTGCGAAACCGTATATCTGAAGCTGCTGACACAATTACGGGAATACCTGGAATTTGGGAAAATATTCGCCAAAATTAGGCGCGTCGGTGCCATGCCTGTATCCGCGCTAATGGGGATCTATTTCAACATTTTCTCTAGAAATGGTAAGTTTTATTTGATTTGGTTCCATATTTTAGTGGAGTGAGTTTAGTGTACGCAGTTGGCAATTACAGATGCTTACGGATGTGGTTTTATTTGTGAACTCTTGCATTTAAGATAGTATATACTATTAATTATTATAATTAGAAAATATCAGTTTTTTTTAAATAATTATTTTTCTTAGTTTGTAATTTTACATTGATTTTTCAATGCAAAAATTGAGAACTATCTTTCTATCTTTCAACGACGATGTTTACGCGGCTGGTCTACAGCATGTAACTCATCGAACAGCACACGGACAGGACCGTTCTAGAGAAAATATTGTGATCCATAATTGAACTTTAATTTACGAAAAAAAAACGCAAAAATAGAACTTTTTCTTAGACTTTTCTATTACAAATATCGTTAGGAAGCTGTAGTTTAATTTTTATAGATTTTACACGCCACACCCTGTATTGTACATTATACTTTCTTAATTTAATCGTTGATTTATTTAACCGGATTTAATCGGGACTTAAAACACTGGAGCTCTGTTGTTATAATCACTGCATTTAACACAATTTTCATCTGAAATAAACTAAAATGACCGAATTAACAAAAAAAAAAACTTTTAAACACTAATTCAGATTTAGGTACAAGTGTGTCAAATATGAGTAGTTTTAATAACATAGCCACAAAAAAAATGTTTTTGGGGTCTGGAGATCAGACTATCTACTACATATTTTTGGGGTTGATGAATCCGACTCCGTGGCCCGTTTAACTCCATCACGTCAGGTTTTACGAATAACCCCATGCAACCTCATAACCCAAGCTGTCAAGCCCTATTACACACATCGATTCCGTAAAAGGAGATGTGCACCTACAATAACATTTTAATCCCATTCATTCAATCTCAAACCTCTTAATCCCATAACCGTATAATCCCATAACCCTATAACCGATAACACCAATAACCACGTTACTCAGCAGTTTGACTTGATCAGGGCTATATAAACAGAATATATTTAACCCTATAATCCCTCAACCCCCTAACCCTATAGCCTCATAACGCCAATAACCACGTTACGCAGTAATTCGATTGTTTGATGCAAGTCTATCTCGTTATTGGCTCCCAGTTTCATAATTTCCAGTATATTCTCCATCAATTTCAAAAATATGCCAAATGAAGCTTTATTTCGCGGAACCCGCTTTCGCACCGTGACCAGTCTCCGATTCTGGGCATCCAAATCCCTGCCTCGTACGTATTCCACCTGTGTCTGCCATAACGGCGTGAAAGCAATGATCCAGGGATAGCCGGATAACGGGATTATTCCGTTGCCTGCCGTCACCGCGAGGAGTTGCCCTGGATGCAGATATTGTTGGGTTAGCGCGAAATAAAGCTTAATTTAGCATGATATTTTTTAAATTGACGGAGAATCTACTGGAGATGATGAATCTGGGTGATAACGATATAGACTATGTTCCTTGTATCAAACAATCGTGTTACTGTGAAACGTAGAGTAATGGAGTTATGGGCTTATAAGGTTATGGGTTTAGGGGTTTGAAGGATTATAGGGTTAAATATAGTCTGTTTATAGAGCCCTGATATATCCCGCGATAAGAGATCAAATCAAACTACTGAGTAACATGGATATTGGAATTAATAGTTATGAGGTTATAGGATTATACGGTTATGTGGTTTGAGGTTGAATGTATAGGATTATTGTGGGTGCACACCTCACTTTACAGGATCGTTGTATGTAATAGGACTTGACAGCTTAGGTTATGAGGTTATATGGGGTTATTGGTAAAACCTGACGTTATGGGGTTAAATGGATCACGGATTCGGATTCAGCGACCTCAAACACATGTGACCTCCAGACCCAGACGAAAATCCGACTTTTTTGTCTGTCATTTCACTTTTGTGGTCAAATTGTATTCCCAAAGCCGAATTTCATAGTCTGCAGGTGGTACAAATCAAGGAGTTTTTGAAAAAAAAACAAGTTTGAGTAGCCGCCTCCGGCCAAACGTAGCGATATTTGTTCACTTTAAACCTATTTCAACATTAATGTGCTTATCTTTTGGTACAAATGATGGGAAAAAATCACGCCAGCTCTTAGGCTATAAGTATTTAGTCCAAGCATTATAGAGAAATGCTTACAGAAATTATTACCTGGACAAAAAAATATGACCGTATAGAAAATTAAATTTTAAATCGAGTTTCTTGTTCTTTAAACTCGATCCAAAATGGCGAACATGGTTAAAAAAATCGCAAAGTTGCAAAAAAGGTTTTTCTAAAATAACTAAAAAAATATAGCACCGATCGAAAAATTTTAAAAGAGAAAGTTGTAGGTTTTAAAAAGACCTATCGACTGATTTTTTGTAAGTACCGATTGCTTTGTTACTTTTCGAGATATATCGAAAAAACCGTTAAAAATCTTCTCTTTTCTCTTCTTCTATAACTCGTTTACATTTAGGTTCCCTTACTTGCTATTTACTGCAAGCATAGCCCGCGGCAAGCCAAAAAATACATTTTTGAAAAATTTTAAAATAATAATAAGAGTAAAGAAGAATAATAAAAGTAAAAAAAAATGTAAGTAAAATAAAAAGTAAACATTTACGGGACTAGTTTGCTTCTAATGCGAAAATGACTGTAATATTCGTGTTTAGCTACCCCAGATTAAGTACAAAAGAATTTTTGTACGTGATCCAGAAGCCGAGATATCAAAAATTTTGAAAGCGCGAGACTTTAGACTGCACGTCATCAGTTTTCAGAGCGAGCGCGCGCCGCTTCCCCCTACTTCTCCGGCCGGTCCAGCTGACGCACTCAGCGCTTGCACGCTTCACTTTATTACTCAATTCTTAATTACTAATAGGTACTAAAAATCAAGTAAACATATCCTATTTTTTTTTTTTTGAAAATATAAATATTGAATATTAACCTCCATCAAGCGCATCGCTGTAAAAAATGTTAATTGCGTCTTCAAAATTTTTTTTTAAATAAAAAAATTATCTCGGCTCCAGAAGGTCGTAGAAAAACATTTTTTTTTTAAATTCGTGAAAAAATGTCAGCAGTTTCCTCCTTTAAAAATAATTTTCATAAAATAAAAATTGAAATAGTTATTTGAAAAAAACACCCAAAAAAGTGAAAATTTTTCATATTTTGATCCTTAAAATTAATAAAATCGTCAACATTCGTCAAAATCAGTCGATAGATCTGTTTAAAACCTACAACTTTCTCATTTAAAATTTTTCGATCGGTGCTATATTTTTTTACTTATTTTAGAAAAACCGTTTTTTGCAACTTTGCGATTTTTTTAACCATGTTCGCCATTTTGGATCGAGTTTAAAGAACAAGAAACTCGATTTAAAATTTAATTTTCTATACGGTCATATTTTTTTTGTCCAGGTAATAATTTCTGCAAATTTAACATTAATCCGTGACAGAATGCTTGGACTAATTTGCAACAAAAAAACTGGTCTGCCAGCCGGTAAACACGAACACGTGCTCTTTGTATTGGTACAATTGTGAAATAAATATGAAATGAGTAATGAACTACAATTAATAAATTATGAAAATATTTACCAGAGGATCTGATAACTATTTTGTTTTTTTATTTCTATTTTTCTCCTATTTTATGTTTCTCAATAGGTTCAGGGTGTTTAATACTACATTAATTATCATAACATAACATATCATATTCATAACATATTTTATCTATATATTTTTAAGAAAAATAATGAAATTTTTCTGTACATTTTAATTGTCTGGAATACAGTTGCATTGTTATTTAAAATCATTAAAATTGTCTTTACCACAATGTTTCCATACTTCCAACATAATGATAATAATCACAAATATTTCACAAATATGTCTGTTAAATGAAATTAAAATATATAGAACATTAAGGATATAAAATGAGCATCATTTTGCATTCGACATACCCAGTAATAAAGAATCTGGGGAATTTGAAGTTTTTGTCAAAAAAAGTTGTTTGGTATATCTAGTGTTTACGAAGTTAGTTGAAACCGTATAAAAACTAAAAGTCGGCATCTCTTTCCGGGCACAATAAAGAGATGCCGACTTTTAGTTTTTATACGGTTTCAACTATCTTCGTAAACACTATAATAAATGTTTAAATTTTTGATAGTATCAAGTATAGTATTCCTCTGTTTCCACATCCAATATTTTATTAAAACACTGTAGGTCATTATATTATTTTTCTGTGCAAATATTAAAATTATCTGACAATTCTTGTTCATTGCACATATTTTCCCTAATGCGGCTCTGGACGATAATAGGCTTACCAATGTCCTGAGAATATATAGTTACCGATTAAAGAAATCTTTACGTCGATTGCTATGTGGTATTACGAAGTTGTTCTAGTTTGGCATTACGCTAGTAGAGACCGCCACTTCCTGGATGGATTTTCTACTATCTATCAGGTGCTATCGCTGTCTTACCAAAAGTGCGATTTCTTGTCTATAAAACGACGCCCTTAACTGCTAAGACAACATAGCCCGATACTCAGGGGAGGATGTTCACCTCTAACATTTTTGAAATATATTTTGTTTTTGTCGGAATGAATTACTGTTGAAGTGTCATTTTACTTTAAAGAATAGAAAGTGAGAATAAGAATAACAAAAATAGTAATAAAGTAAAATTATTCCCGCAGTATTTTTTTATAATTAGGCGCCATACAAAAATTAATCTTAACTAATGAACATTTCTTATGTTCATTTTTAGGTGGACATGGATTCGTTGTTGAAAGTGTTGAGGTAGAGGGATGTTCTACATCACCTTGCTTGATTAATGTGGGGACATCAGTAACTGTAACAGTCAACTCGGTGAATACAGGTATGTATATACAAGGTGTTAAAAAATAATATGTCACAAACTTGGACGGCAATTGTATACCCCAAAATATACAGAAAAGTCTTAATCAAATGGGCAGTTTCGAAAAAACGAAAGATTATTTCTTAATGCAGAACTCGTATATTTTTTCGCTTATCTTGTACTGTATACAGGTGTACAGGTCTTAAATCCATCTGATCATCTATGACGTTTGTTTTTTTGCCAGTGGTTTCTACGCAATAATGCTCAAAGGATTAAAATTTTGTTGTCAAGATTCTCTGTACTGATAAGGCCGGGTTCATACGAAATTAAAATTCTCATGCAACTATGGATTCCAGACATCAGGTACGTTTTTCACTGAACATTTGAATGGGTATTTTGGACGACAGGTTCCTAGATCCGGTTGTTTCACCAAACCACTTAACTAAACTTTCTGCAGAATGACGACATTACTCTGAACCAAAGACAACAAATGTGGTTCCAACAAGATGATGTTGCGGAGCATTTTCGATTGTCTCGTTAGAGAGCATTTACATGGAACTTTTGGATAGAGATGGATAGAAATGAGTATCTGTAGCAACGATACCACCGAATCCGAGCCATTATAGGGATTCGAAAGAGTTCGAAGGTGATTCTGTGGAGATATAGTGACTGTCGTGAAATCGAGGGAGGCCACTTTGGACATCACATTTTTGTCTTTTTTGTTTGTTCATAAAAAAAGTGGTGTAAACGCAAAATATTTCGTATCTAAGAAACTGTCCAATTGCGGACCTGTGTACTTTAAAACTTTTTTTAATAGTAAATTGAAGATTTTCTCAAATTTGCAAACTATATTTAGTCTAGGCGGTATTTGTTTTGGTTTGGGTGAATCGTATATCCACGGAGATTTTTGGCTTTTTGGCTTTAAAATATCACTACAAATTAAAATTTTTCTATGCGCATAAAAAAAAACGTAGGCTTAACTTTTGGCGGCACAATATGTTAAAAAAATTCGAAAAATGTCTTAATTTTCATCCTATTTAATTATGTATCTTTTTAAGAGTTGATTGTAGGCGAAAATGGAAGAGGAAACAATGTTTCTAATTAAATTTTACAAAATATGACTAGTTACAAATAGAATGAATCATGATTATTATTGTAAAAATCGAAAATATCATCAAAAATGGGATTAAAAAACATTACTTTTTAGGGATTTTTTTTTGGGGTCTTTAAGTTGGGTATAGGACTTTCATACTTGGCTCAAGAAAACTTCATGTTATGTAGAATCATCACACCAAATTTCATCAAAATCGGTTAGATAGATTTTGCATAATAATTTTGCAATCCAGATTTTGAAAAAAAATTTGCAAATTTTCAAAATTTTGCACAGCAAAAACCAAGGCCCTTAGATACTTGAAAATTTAAACACATACAGGGTGATTCATTAACAATGGGAAAATCGAAAGCTGAAGATACTACACATGAAATGGTGACCATT